TATGTGGGGACTTTGTTTTGTACAATACCTAACACAGAACTTGGGATAGTGTGTTCCTTAAAAAATATCTGTTGAAAGAATGAATGGATAACTATGAAGATAGTGTCCCAAGATAGAGCAGAAAGGCTAATTTAAGCAGAGTGGGGATAGAGTCTTTGCTAGGAGAACTATAGAGGAAAACTACCAGGGAGAACCACCAGCTGCAGCAAACTTCTTAGGGGAGTTATCTTCAGGGAGGAGGGAGGAGGGAGGAGGGAGGAGGGAGGAGGGTGGAGGGTGGAGGGGAGGAACAAAAGCTAAAAACTTGGAATTCTTGGTTGCAGAACAGAATTTTCTCTTTCCTCCTTTCTTGCTGGTAAATGCTGTTGACCATCAAGAGAGGGTAATTCTGGCCCTTAAATGCCTTTCCTTCTTGCAGAGATGCTCCATCCTACTTTTACCTAGGAAAGGCAAGAAGGAGCTATGAGGACTCAGGAGATGAGACTGTGAAAAGATTTGGGGGTGGCAAGAAAGGAGCATGGGCCCATAGGGGTGTAGAGTAAGGGAGGGGGAGAAGATCAAGGAGGGACCTCTGTTTCCCAACCTCAGGCATGGTCTAGAAGGAGGTGGTTTCCTGAGTTGGGGACTGTTTGCATTTTTATGACTTTTTTGTTTTTTAGCCTGGCCTTGGCAAAAGTACAGGGGATAAAACCCATAGCCTCAAGCATGTTAGGGAAATGCTCTGCCACCAAGCTACATCCCCAGCAATCTCCCCTATTTTTTTTTAATTTTACAAATTTGAGACACATTCTTGCTAAGTCACCCAGGCTGGCCTTGAACTTGTTATCCTCCTACCTCAGCCTCAGAAGTAACTGGGAGTACAGGCATGCACCACTGGGCTGGGAATTTTTGTGTTTTTTTTAAATACATTAAAAATAAATAACCTTTTTCCCCCTCAAATGACTAGTCTGGCATCAGACAGAAAAATGGAGGTTCACTTAGGAAAAGCTCTTGTGTTGGAAGTTAACATATAAACCCATTTTAGTAAGTTGAGTAGCAATATCACTGCCATTATTTTTAGAAAAAGGAAATATACCCCAAGACAACTAATTCTTGTGGTGGTAAATGGCAAAGGAAAAAGTTCTATTGTTATACCCATGATTGTTCCAGTGTCCCAGGCTTCTCCAGGAACAGGTGTGTTCTTTGATGGGCATCTGTCATATGCTCAGTGTGATGCAGACCACATCATTTTCCCATCTGCACCCTTGGTCACCACATCCTGATCTCAAAAATCTAAAAATGTAAACTGAAGTATACCTTTTTTTAGGACTCTGTGCTTGGTGATTTCTGTGAATTAACTTGTTTAAAATTTCCACACGTTTTCAGAAGGCTTCGACACGCATGGTTTTGCCTCTCTTTGAGAAATGAAACACATAAACCAACACCTTTTGATTACATGACATTTTAGACACAAATAGGCAAAAGTATTTGTTTTGAGCATCTAAATAGCTTTTATATTTAAGAAATAAATTGCAATTATGACAGTTTTTTAATATTTATTTTTCAATTGTAGTTGGATTCAATACCTTTATTTATTTATTTTTATGTGGTGCTGAGGATCGAACCCAGGGCCTTGCACGTGCTAGGTGAGTGCTCTACTGCTGAGCCACTACCCCAGCCCAGACAGTTGTTTTTTATTTGGGACTTCTCATCATTGTTTTTGCTTAGAAGATGTTTCAGTAAAATGTTTTTTTTTAAATATATATATATTTTTGTTGTAGTTGGACACAATATCTTTATTTTGTATATTTGTTTTTATGGGATCAAACCCAGGAGCTTGCACATGCTAGGCAAGTGCTCTACTGCTGAGCCACAACCCCAGCCCAGTAAAATGGTTTTGCAAACAGTCTTCTTGGGTTAAAATATTAGCTTCATAGTTATTAGCTCTGTGTACTTGGAAAAACTATACTACCTCTATGAATCTCATTTCCTTATGTCTAAAATAGGGCTCATAGGAATACGCACCTTAATAGTAATACTCAACTGTTGAGAGAGTTAAATGACTTAATGTGTTTGAAGATTTGTTTTGCTTATTTTAAATTGTTTTGCATTGCTGGTGGATTGAATTTAGGGGATCTGTATCACTGAATTACATCTCCAGCATGTTTTATTTTTATTTATTTTTATTTTTTAAATATTTATTTTTTAGTTTAGGTGGAAACAATATCTTTATTTTATTTTTATGTGGTGTCGAGAATCGAACCCAGTGCCTCACACATGCTAGGTGAGCACGCTACCACTTGAGCCACATCCCCAGCCCTCCAGCATGTTTTACATTTTTATTTGAGACAAGGTCTTGCTAAGTTGCCCTGGCTGGGCTTGTAATCATCCTGCCTCAGCCTCCTAAGTTGCTGGTATTACAGGCATGTGGCTCTGTGCCAAGCACATTTGATGTTTTGAGAAGTTTTCAGTACATAAGTGCTTAGTACATCTTAGTTGTTGTTGTTCTTGTTCTTGTTATTATTATTATTATTTGTGATATTGGAGATTTAACCCAGGGGCACTCTACCATTGAGCTACATCACTAGGTTATTTTATTTTATTTTTTATTTTGAGACAGGGTCTTACTAAAATTGCCCAGGCTGGCTTCAAACTTGTGATCTTCCTGCCTCAGCAGGAGTGTACTACCATGCCTATCCCAAATCATTCAATAGAAGAAAAATGAATTGTTATAGTAGCAACAGAACAAACTTAGATTCAAGAAGACCTGGATTTATATCTCAATTCTTTCTTGATCCTAGAAAATTATTTAATTATTTGTAAAATAGAAATAATAAGCCGGGCATGGTGGCACGTTTGTAATTCCAGCAATGTGGGAGGCTGAGGCAGGGGGATAAAAAGTTTGAGGCCAACCTCAGCAGAGACCCTAAACGACTTAGTGAAACCTGTCTCAGAATAAAAAAAATTAAAGGGCTAGGGATGTGGCTTAATGGTTAAGTACCTCTGGGTTCAATTCCCAATATATATATATATATATATATATATATATAGTATCTGCTAGTGTGGTCTTCAAGTCTCTTTCATAGGGTTCATGAAGTCAAAACCATTATCTTAATACTACCAATATACTATTTGCCTTTTTCACTGTATTGACATTTGCACAGATGACACAAAAGCAAACAAACAAACAAACAAAAACCCTCCTTTGCATGAATCTAGGCAGTGGCACAAAACTCTCTCCTAGTAGCCATTATATTTTTCATCACCCCACACTCATGGTAAAATAAGTCTCTCATACTTAAGAATAAGAATATCCTTAATGAGCCAGGTGTGTAGTGCATACTTGTAATCCCAGTAACTCAGGAAGCTGACACAAGGGATCACCAGTTCAAAGCCAGCCTCAGCAACTGCAAGGAACTAAGCAACCCTGTCTCTAAATAAAATACAAAATACGACTGGGGATGTGGCTCAGTGGTCGAGTGCCCTTGAGTTCAATCCCTGGTTCCAAAAAAATTATATATCTATCCTTAATGAAACATCACAAATTATTAATTTTATTAACTCCTTGGGGCTGGGGTTGTGGCTCAGGGGTAGAGTGCTTGCTTAGCACATGTGAGGCACTGGGTTTGATCCTCAGCACCACATAAAAATAAATAAATAAAATAAATATATTACATCCAACTAAAAAATAAATATTAAAAAAAATAAGTCCATCTACAAGTTAAAAAAGTCTTGACCCTTGAGTACACTTTTAAATATATTCTCTAAGGCTGGGGATATAGAGGAATATATCTACTGGTAGAGTGCTTGCCTTGCATGTATAAGGCCCTGAGTTCAGTCCCCAGCACCACAAGATATATACCCTCCCCACACACAAATAAATATTCTCTATGATGAAACGTGACACACACATAAAGCACTTCTGCTGAATATTGAAGTAGAAGAGATGCCTCCAGGAAAAGTGTTTGAGTGATTGAGAACTGAACTAGCTGCTTTTCTCATAAAGTACTATTTTTATTTGAAAGAACAACTGACAGACATACTATGGTTTTTCTGACTTGGGGATTTGATAGATATTTTCTTGAAAATGAAGGAAGGGTGTTGGTTACTTTGAGGACAACAGCTGACAGTATCTATTGCCAAGGATAAAATTCAAGTTTTCAAATGAAAATTAAATTTTTGGAAAACTTGTTCCACTATTGTGATCTTGACGGCATCTCAATATTGAGACTTTTCTGATAATATGGATCATGATATTAACAACTGTGTTTTTTATATTATAAAGTATGAAATGTGTCATATTATAAAGGAAGATGGAGGCCACATTACATGGAGAACAACTATTTTTTTTTCAAATGATCAATATGTGATATAAAATTGTGTGTATTTTACATTCAAAGTATAAGATAGACTACTGGATTTTAATGTAACAGAGTATGAAAAGTTTGTTGATAATTTCACATTAAAAACTACCTTTAAAGTATTAGCTAAGGGATGGGAATGGGAGAGACAGTAGAATGAATTGGACATAACTTTCCTGTGTTCATATATGAATACATAACCAGTGTAACTCCACATCAAGTCCAACCAAAAGAAGGAAGTTGAGCTGGGTGTGGTGGTGCAGGCCTGTAATCCCAGCAATGGTGAGGTGCTAGCAACTCAGTAAGACCCTGTCTCTAAAGAAAATACAAAATGAGGATGGGGATGGGGATGTGGCGCAGTGCTCAAGTGCCCCTGAGTTCAATCCCTTGTACCAATAAATAAATAAATAAATAAATAAAAGAAAAGAAAAAAGAATATTCACAATTATCTGAAAATATTGAAATATCTTTCTCTTTTCTAATTGTATGTCTCTGGGGTGGGGGGCTGGATTTTCTTTACAATGTTCAAATTGAAGTTTTTAACCAAAACAACATATTCCAATTGATCAAATGCAAAATCTAGCAATTTATTATAAGCCAGACATTAAAGAGATTTCTAAAAACAGAAAATGATATTTTCTTTTTTTTTTTTTTTCAGGGGAGGAAAGAGTATGTAAGTTTATTTTACATAACTGGCTGAAAAATAAATTTGAGAGATAGTAAATATAATTTAATATGGTCTCATACGCCCTGAAGGAGGCGGTGCTCGATTTGGAGGGGTAATGGCTATGTCCAAATAATTGCCTATCTGGAACTTCTGGGACTGCAAGGTCATGGAATCGTCAGTCCCCTTTCTGCCAGACATGGTGCTGCCAATCTCCTTAACTCGATAGCCAGGTCTTTTAAGATCCATAAAAACAATTGCAAAATTGAAGTGTGTTCCCTTCTTTCTAGCTTCTGGGTAGACTTCTTTTATTAAACTAGTTAGTTCTTTCAAAGTTGCATCCATCCAAGTATAGATCTGCAGCTCGCTGGAGGGTACGTTTCTGCGGGAGAATTCATCCATTCGGTGGTGGCGGCCGTTATTGGTGGTGAAGACTCGCAACAGCAGCGGGCATGTCTTCTCGCGGTCAATTGGCTTCTCTGGCTCTTTCTTAATTTCCTCCTGGGTTACGCGCGATTCCACCGCCATCTTCCTTCTTCTGCCCCCGAGACGCTCGCCCTGACCTCCGACCCCCGCAGCGAGCATGAGCACGAAGTCAGAAAATGATATTTTCTCACTATTTTTTAAAAATAATTTCTGCATCCAATCTATGGGATCTTGCTGGACTTGGTGGGACATGCCTGTAATGCCAGCTACTTGAGAGGCTGAGACAGGAGGATTGCAAATTCAAAGCCAGCCTCAGCAACTTAGAGAAGCCCTAAGCCATTTATCAATACCCTGTCTCTAAATAAAAAAAAAAAAAAAAAAAAAAAGGGGCTGGGGATCTTGCTCAGTTGTTAAGCACTCCTAGGTTCAATTCCTGGTACCAAACAACAACAACAAAATGAAATGAATTGGAAAGCTTTTAAAAAATAACTAGTATCTAGATCCACCTCAGATAAGTTAAACTGGAATCTCTGGGTTGGGAACGTGAGCATTAATATGTATACTATGTACATTTAAAAACCCACCAAGTGATACTCTATACATCCAGGTTTGAAAACTATAGCCCTATTGTAGTGTTTTTCAAACTTGTGCTATCATAAAGAATCATGGAAGACAGTTGTTATTTGTAGCAATCCCAGGTGCAAATACAGTAAACCAAATCTCCAGGAGAAAGGCCTAAACATCTGCATATTTAATAAGTATCTCAGGTGATTCTTAAAATGAGGCAACTTTTGGAAGTGTTGTACCATTCTCTCCCCATGCTCCTCAATATTAATGGCTGGCTTGCTAAGGGGTTAGTTACTAACAAAGGAATTATTCAACTAAATTTAATCCTCAAGATTTCTATATACCCGGGCTGGGATTGTGGCTCACTGGTAGTGTGCTTGCCTAGCATGTGTGAGGCACTGGGTTTGATTCTCAGCACCACATACAAATAAATAAATAAAATAAAAGTCCATCAACAACTAAAAAATATTTTTAAAAAAGAGTACTATACACCTTAAAGCTTTCACTGGGGCACTACTTGTTAATGAGATTTTGCTGCAGAAATGACTTTAAAGCTTATAGGAGCCAGGCATGGTGGTGTACGACTGTAACCCCAGCAACTCAGGAGGCTGAGACAGAAGGATTCTAAATTTGAGGTGAGTCTGGGCAACTTAATGAGGTCCTCAGTAATTTAGTGAGGCCCTGTCTCTAAATAAAAAAATAAAAAGGGCTGGGGATGTGGCTCAGTGGTTAAGTGCCCCTGGGTTCAATCTCCAGTACCCCCCCCCCCAAAAAAAAAAAAAACAAAGAAAACAAAACAACACACACACACACACACACACACTCAGGCACCCGCAAAACAAACAAAAACAAAAAACAACAACAACAACACAAAACTTAAAGGAAGAAAGAGTACTTTGACAAGGTACTGTTTTTCTGTGGAGGGACTCTTCTTTCAGGCTATTCAAGTTTCACACAGTTTTGTGGAAGGCATTTTACAAATTTAACTTGGATGAGCAACTTCTGTATATGACTCCTTAGCTCAAGTGTTTAGAGGGATACTTGTCAGAGAACCAGCAAGAACCAGTTTTTCTTGTTTTGTTCATTTCATACTTAGAATAAAAGTTTTGTAAAGACAGTGTCATTTCCTTATGAATTGTAAGAAAGCAAATAGGTAAAGGGAGAGTTTTAAATGGATTACCTTGGAAAGCAACTAATCAGTGGTTTATGAGAATCACAGTGGAGAAGTAAAACTTGACTGAAGAGAATATATCCTTAAATTCTGACTTTTTCTCTCATGCTAAAACAGGAAGAAGGTAGTCAGTATTAAATAGCAATTTCCTGTCTGCTGCACAACAGTCATTTTTTTCCTGGTTAGAGATATATAGAAGTTACTCAACTACAAACCCTTTGGAGATGGGAATTGAACCTAAATAGTTTTTATACAGTAAATGTCTAATGCCTGGTCATAATAAATGCTCAATAAGTATATTTTGGATTGATTATGATAGTGATCAAGTCTAGATCTCAATGTTAAAAAGGTACAAAATATTAATAATTCTATATGGAACATTTCTTTAATATAACTTGTATTCAATGAGGTTCACATTGAGAATTTGTGAAAATCTGTAAGAAAAACCTTAGGGGCTGGGGATGTGGCTCAAGCGGTAGCACGCTTGCCTGGCATGCGTGCGGCCTGGGTTCGATCCTCAGCACCATATACAAAACAAAGATGTTGCGTCCGCCGAAAACTAAAAAATAAATACTCTCTCTCTTTAAAAAAACAAAAAGAAAAACCTTATTTTACCAGAAAAAAAAAACATAATATTGGAAACAATGTTTTCCTTTTGAGAGTGATAATGAGGGGGTTGGGGGGAAGGTTTTTTTTTTCCTTTAGAGTTCTATAGTATTATATTTTTAAAAAATCATGAGCAGATAATTAATAGAAATTATTTTAAAATTGCAAGTTTAAATTTTGACAAGAATTTTTATTTTATAAGTAGAGATCTTGAAATGACCTCAGAGATGTTTATCTTTCCTTCTCCTCCGCCCCCAACTCTCAGAACTTCACTCTTTGTTCAAGTTCCTCTTCCCTATTATTTATAAATGGAAGTTGTTAGAATGCCCACAATTCTGTACTTCTTTCATCAAGAGATGTAATCTGGGCTGGGGATGTAACTCTGTGGTAGAGCATATGCTTAGCATGTGCAAGTCCTGGGTTCCATCCCCAGAACAACAATAAAAAACAGGTAGAATTTTTCTGGGTGCAGTGGTATACACCTGTAATCCCAGTGGCTCAGGAGGCTGAAGAAGAAGAATCATAAGTTCAAAGTCAGCCTCAGCAACTTAGTGAGGCCCTACACAATTTAGAGAAACAATATCTCAAGATAAAAAGATAAAAAGGGCTGGGAATGTGGTTCAGTGGTTAAGCACCCCTGGGTTCAATCCTGGGTATAGAAATAAAAGAGGTACAATCTTTTGAACATCAATGGGATGTTAACAATTTTAATACAAGTGGGGGCCTGGTTTCTTGGTGCTTTTATCACTTGTTCAAGAACAAATGCCCTGTTCTCCTTCATTGTGCTAGTCAGTCACTGGCTATGTGAATGATGCCACTTGGGTCCAGTTATTCCTCATCTGACATTCTGATTGACTACAGAGAAGTGAACAAGGCCTGGTGCAGACCAGAAAAAGCTACCTACAGGATTGTGAGCTAAATAAATGGCTATATAAAAATGCAGAGTTTGGGAATATTTTGTTATGCAGCAACTGGTAACTGATACACTCTGCAAATTATGAAATTCTCTGCTGTGCCCAATGGGTTCATTCCATTTCCACAAAATACCACTCCTCATATACCTTTGTTTATAACCTTCTCTTCACTCATCAACGTCCCAGCTTTTCTTTGGAGGTGTCCTCAATTCTCCTACCTCTCCATGAATAAGAACTTTCTTTCCTAAGCTTCTGAAATAGGCTTTATATCTCTTAATAATCCAGTACCAAATTTTAAATTCTATTGGAAATATTTTTATATTTTAACACAACAGAAATTAATTAAATCTAATCCAAAATAATTTTACAGAAATGTATTATTAACTTCCTTTTCCTATTTTATTACTATTTAACTCAATAGTCTATGCTTCATCTTTGGTATTTGCACAATAATTTTTAAAAACTGTAATTTATCATCTCATGTATTTGTCCAATTTCTGCTATTATACTATTGATCCTGATAGGTCGAAACTGTTCATCATTTCTCCCTCAAAATGCTGTGTTCAAGACCTTGTATATAACACATAGACCATATTATATATGATGCTCTAGCTTTAGAGTCAGTAAATACCTGGGTCTAAATCCCTGGCACCTAAATGATGTGTGACCTTGGGCAAATAATAACTTATTTGGAAACCAAACTTTAATTTTTCTTTCTTCTTCTTCTTCTTCTTCTTTTTTTTTTTTTTTGGTACCAGGGATTGAACTCAGAGGCACTTCACCACTGAGCCACATCCCCAGGCCTATTTTATATTTTATTTAGAGACAGGATCTCTCTGAGGCTGGTTTTGAACACCTGATCTTCCTGCCTCAACCTCCCAGGCCACTGGGATTACATGTGTGTGCTTCCGCGCCCTGCCCAAACTTTAATTTTTGAAATAATCATTGTTATTTTTAGGGATATTTTGTGGATTAAATTACATAAGTCAAAACTTTAAGTTTGTATTATACCATATAGCAGACATTATGCAAATAAAAACTTATGCTATTTATAAAGATTCATGTTAAGATGCACAAAACAGGGGCTAGGGTTGTGGCTCCGTGGTAGAGTGGTCACCTAGCATGCATGAGTCACTGGGTTTGACCCTCAGAACCACATAAATGTAAATAAAGATATTGTGTCCACTAAAACTAAAAAATAAATATTTATATAAAAATGCAGAAAACAAGTGCCTTCTTAGATAAGCAGCATAAATAAATGTGGTCCTCTGTAAATAAGCAGTATTGTCATCCTCTAGGAGACTGAATAAATTTAGAATATTAGGCTCTATTCCAGATCTACTAATTTGATTTTTCATAGGATTCCTGGGTAATTTATGTGCATGTCAAAGTTTGAGAAGCAATATATTAAAAAGCCATTTTATTGCACTTATTTAAGATGTATACCTGGATATTTTAGTATACTTATTTTGAAAGACATATGCATAGTTAAATGATTATTAGAATTAAGCAAATTAACATACTCATCATCCACAAGAGTTATCTTTTCTCTTTCTTTCTCTTTCTTTATTTTTTTCTTGTTTGTGGTAAAAATACCTAAAATCTAAAAGACCTTGAAGAAAAGCCAAGAAACCTGTGAATCAATTTGACATGATATGTGTGCAATGAGCTCTTATGTCTCCTTCATTTAATTCTAATCTAATCTTATTACTTAGTTGGAATTTCTAATAATAAGCCTTCAAAAGAAAGGATTGATCATCATAAACATCATAGTAATTCCTCCAAGAAAGTTAAGATGCAGAAAACAGGGGCTGGGGTTGTGGCTCAGTGGTAGAGTGCTAGCCTAGCATGCATGAGGCACTGGGTTCCATTCTCAGAACCACATAAATGTAAAATTTTAT